ATGGCTTTATATAGAGTACGTTAAAATTGATTTAAAGTTGAAGAACATGATTGAAATGCCCATGTGACTTCAGTTAGAGACACCCTTACTGGCTGTATCTAATGCAAAGATCTTAAAGGTTGATGTTTACATCTGGCCTTTGTTTTTACTTTTGTTTTTGCTAGTACTGGGGCGTGAACTCCAGGGCTGGGCACTTTTTTTTTTTTCACTCAATTCTAGTGCTCTACCACTTGAGCCACACCTTTACTTTTGGCTTTTTGGTAGTTAATTGTAGATAAGAGTCTCATGGACTTTGCTGCCTAGGCTGGCTTCGAACTGTAGTCCTCAGATCTCAGCCTTTTGAATGGCTAGGATTACAGGTGTGAGTCACCTGTGCCCAGTTGCATCTGGTTTTTGTCTTTCAGATAGATAGGTAATATACACATGTCTCTGATAAAACAGTACTCTTTTGTAAGAAGACCTGGAACTTAAAGTAAGCGATCATACTTAACGTGGGTACGTTTATATAAATGATCATATTTAAAGCAATTTCCTTAGCAGGAGGACTCTGTAGAATCTGTCACTTTTTTAGGTATACATTTGCTCTAGAAAGGCAATTTGTCTGTAACATGATTAGATCACAATTCAGCATCTATATGTGGTGGCACACCAGATTTTAGAGTCTATTATGTGGACACTGATAGTAACTCGAATTGTTTTTTATTATCTTATACTTAGGATTCTAGTGGGTTTAGAAAGATAATGTCAAAAATGTGGTTTAACTTAAATTGCTTTAGGTAATAGGTGAGGTCACAACTTTAGTCTCTAGTGTTGATTTTCATGTTACAATCAATAGCTCTCTGTTCTTCCCACTTTTTTCTTTATTTCTCCTCCCTCCTTCCCTCCCTCCCTCCCTCCTTCCCTCCGTCTCTCTCTCTCTCTGTCTGTCTCTCTCACTGTGTACATATATGCTCACCTGAGCAGGTACTGGGGCTTGAACTCAGGGTCTAGGCGCTGTCCCTTAGCTTTTTTTTTTTTGCTTAAGGCTGGCACTAAACCACTTAAGTTACTCTACCACTTGTTTTTCTGGCTTTTTTTTTTTTTTTTTTTGCTTGTTAGTGGGTGGTAAGAATCAGGGACTTTCCTGCTTGGTCCAGCATCAACTTTTGATCTCTAGATCTCAACCTCCTGAGTAGGTAGGATATTAGGTGTGAGTCACCAGTAGCGCTGTCTCACACCTTTTTTATTCTGGGTTTCTTGCCAGAAGCTTGCCAGCTAATTTGGACAAATATTTTAGGAGTATTTCTCATTCTTACTATGTTCTTTCAGTAGAAACTAATCTTTGTGGGCTGGGAAGGTGGCTCAGTGGTAGAGCGCTTGCCTTGCATGCCTGAGGCCCTGGGTTCGATTCCTCAGCACCACATAAGCAAAAAGAAAAAAGCCGGAAGTGGCGCTGTGGCTCAAGTGGTAGAGCGCTAGCCTTGAGCTGAAGAGCTCAAGGGACAGCACCCAGGCCCAGAGTTCAGGCCCCACGACCGGACCAAAAAAAAAAAAAAAAAAGAAACTAATCTTTGTTTCTTATAACCAAAAGACATTTTTTTATTTAAGGCTAATGTTCAATAGAGATTGAGTCCATATATTTTTCTAGAATAAGCTTATGGGCCACTGAAAGTGGTTCCTGATCTTTTCTTGTTGACACAAAAGCTCTTCTGCTCTTAAAGCCTTTCATTCCTTGATGAAGCCCTGTGTATTTTCCCTACAGCTATTTCCCGGAGCTTCCCCAGGCTGACTTCTTCCTTCACAGGAAGGAAGTAATTTTCTGTGGAAATGGCCTGGATCTTCCATAATATTAACTACCACTCTGGCCTATAGCTTGCCTCCTTCTGGGACCCTGCTGGGGCTGAAGGAGCAGGGCTTGGGGCAGGGCTTGTGACTTGGCCTCGGTGAATAATCTCAAGGGTGGACAGGATGGAGTCTGGGGGGAGGTTCAAGTGATTTCTTTCCATATCTTCCCAGCATTCTCTCATGGGAATGCTTGATCTCTGGCCCTCAATTTGAGAAGCATGGTCTTTAAACTTAGACAGTTGACTTTGACTTTCTCAAGGCTCAGTGAAACAGGCGCTTATTTACTTGGTCCCAAAGGAGCGCTTCCAGCCCTTGCAATGACTAGAACTGAGCATCCTGCCATCTGCTGTGCGTTTAGTTAGTATAAAGCCTAGAGAAAGGAGAATGAATACTCCTTTCTTTCCTTCCTGGGAACATAGGCTTTGCTCTGGGCTTCATGGTAGCTCCTTCCTCCTCCTGTTCAGCGCTGGGCTTTGCCTTATGTTTTGGTTACATAGTTGAGTCAAGACTTGCATGTCACTCCCACTAGCTCAGCTTATCACCATGAATGTAGCAGATACAGAGAGCACAATGGCAAAAATACATGGCCTCTGACAGTGACCTTGGAGCCAGAGTTCTCCCCACCCACTCTGCATCCTGGGTGGCCGTGCCCACCTTCCTGGTCCCTCCGCCCTCAGCCCACATGTCCTGCCTGGCACCTTCCTTCCTTTTAGATACTGCCAGGAGCTTTCATCTGTCCTTTCCACATGAACAAATGCAGTTGTTCCTTGGTTCCTTTGACACTGGGTCCCTCTTTGTCCCTCTGTCTCCCTTTCAGTTGAGCGTGAAGGTTTGATCTGTCTTCTGCACCTTCCTCACAGCAGTGCTGCAGTGTGGAATGCCTCCTCATTTCCCACATCCTCTGGGCATTTCCATTTGTGCTGCCTTTGGAATCTAGGAACCTACTGGGCAGGTAACCTTCAGCAGAAAGACACCCATGCTAACTTGTCATCTGTGCATCTACAAGTAAGAAAATCTTTTCTTCCCATTTCCCAGGTCCTACTGTAGCACTTAATAGAAGCTGTGGCCATCACTTTCTATACATCCAATTAATCTGAGACTGAAAATGTCATGTTGTTGCTGATGTGTAATGTGTCATATGATTGTGTGTGTGGAACATACACAGACTTTTTTCTTGTGTTTATCCCCATGAACAATCCAGTATAGCTCTTATCCACATGGCACTTACATTGTGTTAGGTCTTCTAAGTCATCTAGAGATGATTGGAAGTATGTAGGAGATGTGCAAACACTACATCATCTTTTTTTTTTTTGTCAGTTGTGGGGTTTGAACTCTGGGCTTGGGCACTGTCCCTGTGCTCTTCAGCTCAAGGCAAGTGCTCTACCACTTGAGCCACAGCACCACTTCCGGTTTTCTAGTGGTTTATTGGAGATAAGAGTCTCACAGATTTTCTTGCCCGGGCTGGCTTTGAACCTCGATTCTCAGATCTCAGCCTCCTGAGTAGCTAGGATTACAGGTGTGAGCCACTGGTACTCAGCTACTACATCATCTTATATAGAAGACTTGGTCTGATGTTTTGGTAATTGGGAAGAGCAGGGGTTCCCTGGAAAAAAACTTCTGTGGAGATCAAGGGACAACAGTGTCTAAAGTCTCTTTTTGAATTGTATGTCTAGCTAAATAAATATAGCCAGGGAAATTTTACATGGATTCCAGTTGAAAAAATGCTTCCCAGAATCATTACCAGATGAGTCATTTAGAAATCAAGTCATGCCATGTCATTTGAGTACCTTGTCATCTGATGCTAACTCGATTTTGTGAAAAAGTCGTTACAAATGTGACAGTTGATGAGGGCTGGTGTTTATGTGCTAGGCCTGCTCTAAGTAATCTATACTATGTGTGGCATGTGTGTGCTTCCCTGATGATAACTTCGCTGTTTCTATGTGAATTTCTAACTTTTCAAGATGGGGATTTTTAAATTACAGTTTTCCAAAGCCTATGTGCCCATCACGAGATGTGAGTATGCCTGAACTCAGTGCCAAACTAGCTTCATCTTCACCTCCCCATCCAGTCACTTTCTTGTGTTCCCAACTGAGTTACTTAAAGCAAATAGCGTCTGTATGCCATGTAATCTTCCCTCCCTCCTTCCCCTCCCACTCCCCTCCCTCCCTCCTTCCTTCCTTTTGTGCTAATACTGGAACTTGAATTCTGGACCTGGGCGCTCTCCCTAAGCTTTTTCATTCAAGGCTGTTTTGCTCTACCCCTTGAGCTACAGCTTCATTTCCAGCTTTTGGTGATTAATTGGAGATAAGAGTCTTACAAGTTTTCTTGCCTGGGCTGGCTTTAAACCACAGTCCTCGCATCTCTGTTTCCTGAGTAGCTAGGATTATAGGCAAGAGCCACCCCTGCCTGGCTCATAATTTCTTGATATTATTATTGTTGGTGGTACTGCAGATTGAACTCAGCCTCACACTTATTAAGAAGGCCTTTTATCATTTAAACTATGCCTTTAGCTGCTGTTGTTTGCATGTGTGTGTGTGTGTGTGTGTGTGTGTGTGTGTGTGTGTGTGTTTGTGTGTTTGTGTTTGTGTTTGTGCCCGCCCAGGGGCTTGAACTCCAGGCCTGGGTGTGGTCCCTGAACTCTTTGCTCAAGATTAGTGCTCTACCATTTGAGTCACAGTTTCACTTCCAGCTTTTTTTTTTTTTCCAGTGAAACAGTATTTAATAATTCCATTAAGATACAACAGTGTATTTTATTCTTATAATGGCAATGTTAGTAAGTTTAAGGCATCTTAGGTAAGAATAAAAATTTGACCAAAGCTTAAGACAGTCTTAAAACATTACATATCAAGAGTCTTAACAAGGGGCTGGGAAGGTGGCTCAGTGGTAGAGCACTTGCCTTGCATGCCTGAGGCCCTGGGTTCGATTCCTCAGCACCACATAAGCAAAAAGAAAAAAGCCGGAAGTGGCGCTGTGGCTCAAGTGGTAGAGCGCTAGCCTTGAGCTGAAGAGCTGAGGGACAGCGCCCAGGCCCAGAGTTCAGGCCCCACGACCGGACCCAAAAAAACAAAAACAAAACAAAACAAAAAAAAGTCTTAGCAAGTTGTTTCCAGGACCTGTAAATATAACACCTTCAACTTTAACCTCATCAGGGGAAGAACAGTTTTTATTAGCTTATTTCAAAATGCTGGAGTTTGGATTTAAGAAATAAAAGTTATTAGCATAGCAATTTTAAGGAACAGAGTGTTTTATATGCTAAGAAGCAGGGAAAGCTTTTTGTGGTTAATTGGAGATAAGAATATCACAGACATTTCTTGCCCAGGCTGGCTTTGAACCACAAGTCTCAGATCTCCCGAGTACCTAGGATTACAGGCATGAGCTACTAGGACCTGGCTTTGCATAGGTTATTTTTAAGGTAGAGCCTCACTTTATACGCTGGATTGCCATAGCTGTGATTCTCCTACTTGCTCTTCCCTGGGATAAACAGGCACGTGCCACTGTGCCAACCATTGTGCTTCCCCTGTAGCTGGGGTCATAGGCATGTGCTATATATCCTGTTAGCTATTGGTTGAGATCGAGTCTTACAAACCTTTATGCCCTGGCTGGCCTTGGATTATACTCCTCTCATCTCTTATTTCTGTATGAGCCACTATGCTCAGCTTTTGATTTTATTATTTATTTTTTGGTATGTGTGTATTGGTACTGGGGCTTGAACTCGGGGCCTCCGTGCTGTTGTTTAGCTTTTTGTGTGCAAGGCTGGTGTTCTACCACTTGAGCCACAGCTCTTTATTTCTGTCTTTTTTGGTAGTTAATTGGAGCTAAGAGTCATAGACTTCTTGCTTGGGCTGGCTTCTAACTGTATTTCTCAGATCTCTTGAGTAGCTAGGATTACAGGAGTGAGCCACTAATAGCTAACATTGATATTATTTTTAACTTGAATGGAATTTTAAAAATTGTAAATTGTTTTTGCTTGAGCATAATTATTTTGCCTCTGATTTGTGTTTTTTTCTCAGTTGTCATCTTGTAATCCTTTGATAGGTTCTTTCTTGTCTTTGGGTTCTACACATTATTTAAAATTTCGTGGATTAGTTTCTGCTATAGACCAAAGAGCTGTTTCATGCTTCTTTTCAAGTGAGAAGCAATCAGCTAATTGTGGCTGTTTGGAGATTGACTTCCCACCTTGTTACCTTCTCGCCCTTAGTGCCTGGCTGTCATAATGAGTAGTAGGGCATAGGTTGTCAGACCTACATTGAGTCACTTGAGCCCTGGTGCTTTGACTTTTTGTTTTCTTATATACAAATCATACTTCTCATCTCCTCATCCGGAAATGAGAGGGTTAGAAAGCTGGTTGTCAAGGTTCCCTGTATTTACCCAAATCCAAACAATAAATAGCACAAGGTATAACTGACCGTCATTGGCTTAGGGAATTAATGTCTTCCACATTGGAAATATCTGGAAAGGGTGCCCTACTGTGTTTCTGGTGTGGCCTCTTTGGCTGTGATATTGAGCATCCGTGATTGCAGGCACCTCTTGGGAGAAGCAGGTGTGTGGGCCACTCATGCCTGGGCCTTCCCCAGGGAACCCCTTGGGTGTGTTCTACTGTTCAGGGTCATCATCAGCTCTTACTTCCTGTGCACTGCTACATGCCCTTTCTGGGAACACCCCAGTTTTTGTTCCAGCTCTGGCAATTATATACTCTTGGCTTTCTGTGAACATCCTTCAACTTTTACCCCTATTTCTAGAAGTACTTTTAATGTCTTGAAATTTCAACAGCTTCTGGAAACGGCTGTTGACTTTATTACTGAGCCTCTGACAGTCTAGTCCTGGCTGCCCTCCAGGGCCTGCAGTCCTCCAGCTGTGGTCAGGCTGCTTCCTGGTGGCCTGGCACTTTCCCATGGAGAGCTGCTGCACACTGACTGCCATGGCTGGTCCCTTGGCCCACCTGAGGATCTCTGTAAATGGGAACTTTGAGACTTCTTAGGGCTCATCTAGTGGCAGCCAGATGGACTAACCAGGTGCCTTCCTCCTCCAGCTGTCCTTGCTGGTTCTAGCTCAGCCAGCCCAGCAGGGCTAATCTGTGCCCAGGTTTTGGGGATGATTTGGAACCATACCACAGGTGATGGAGGAATGACACATCCCTCTGATTTCTTTCTGTTTTGACTCAACCACTAGTCATCACACTTCTGGCTTCATTGTTTGGATGGCCTCTGCGTCACTCTGCTGGCCTCTGTTAGTAAATAGAAGCCTCATAGGTATTTCCTATGGCCACAGTCTAGACCAGGGAGAATGGTTACAAATGAGTATGAAGAGCTAGAACAGATTAGAAATTCTGCTGAGAGTAGAAGTGGGGAATAGGTAAGTCTTTGTCCTTCCTCCTGCCTTCCAGTGTCAACCTAGCAGACCCTAGCCACAATCCAGCTGGCAAGGACCTGTTAAAATGTAGCTTTCAGGTTTCTAGCCCCAGCTATGCAGAGTAGGGCATGTGTAGCCTTGATACCAGCAGGTCATGGCTAGCACACAGACTCCCAAGAGTGTGGGCAGAATTAATGACCCAGTGTTTGGCCACCTGGTATGGAGTGGGTGGATCATGGAAGATTGTGTTCATCTTTTCTGTGTGGGTCAGGGGAAGTGGAGTATGGAAAATATGCTAATGATGCGATGTGTACACCCACCTAGTTGGGAAAATCTGAAACAAAATTGACATGACCCACTTTAACCAGAGGGAATGGCTATAAATTATTCATGTGCAGTTAGGTTTCAGGGAATAGGGACTGGATACCTCTGTGCCTGTGTCCCTCCCCTACCAGGTATTGAATGCAAATGTGTACCCTGGATCTTGTAGGTACAGGGACAGAATCACTCTTTGAAGCCTAGGTGCAGTGAGTTACTCCTGTTGTAGGGGAAGAACACAAGTGATCTTGAAAACCCTGTGCTCTTCTGTGCTGTTGTGTGCTGCAATGACAGATAACAAGAGTCCTCCAACAGTGAATTGATTTTGCTTATCCATTCAGCTCGTGCTTGTCTTTGAATCAAGGAAAGTCCTTTGCTGTAGATCTAGGTTTTGTGAGGCTTATAGCTCTCTGGTCTCTGTGGGCCTTTTCTTCCTGTCTTCTTGAGCCATGCTCACAGGAGCTTTGGGTAGATGTCAGAATCCCCTGAGCTACTTGAATCGAGAAGAATTTAGGGCAAGTAAAGAGAAGATGAAGGAAAGTCAACAGGCCCCTGGGTCAGGGTCTGAGGGCTTGAAGGAGACTGGGGAGAACCTAGAAAGCTTGCTGCCTCTCAGCCCTTCCCTATCCACACTTTATATAGACTTGCCATTCCTACCCAGCACTGAGTGTGTGTGCCCAGCAGACTGGTCTGATCTGCTCAGTATTCCAGCCCTCAAGAAAGGGCATGTTTGGCCCAGTTCAGCCAGCTGCCCACCTAGGCAATTAGCTGACTATGCTCTGTGGAGAAGGAGATAGTGTTGTGTAAGAATACACCTGCCCTGATTACCACCTCATGGGACCAGGGGATAGGCAGCAGTGGCCCAGAAGGAAGCCATTAGTTTCAGTAAGAGTCAAGTGGGATTTGCCAGCAGGGCAGTCTGTCACAAGTAATACAGAATGCAGTGATGGTGCCAATCATGGTCATCATTACCTGGAGTTTCTGCACATTTCTCCATAGGCTGGGAGTTCAGGTCCTTGTTGCTACTGGGTAATGATGTACGGCAAGATCATGGCTATTACAGAAATCACTTTATGAATGTGCGCTAAGAACATTAACTCTTTTAAGCTCAGATAGTCCATGTCCTTAAAATACTAACTTTGAGAAATAAGTGAAAACAATTTTTACTGAGAATCAATAGTACGATGTATTTGTTAGAATTATCCCTAAAGACCTGAACTCAGGGACTTCTATTAATTTGAAAGGTTTCTTGATCTGCTTTGTACTTAGTTTTATTTTGGTTCATGGTACTAGGAGGCTCAGGTCAAGGGACTGTGTCTGGTGATGACTTCTTACTAATTATGGTCAGGATATCCCATAGCAACAGACTCTGTGTGTGTATGAGTGTGAGTGTGTGTATGTGTGTGTGTGTGTGTGTGTGTGTATTCTGGTCTTTGTCCCTTCTCTTAGAAATCCACCAGTATACAGTATACAGTATACAGGATATCCCATAGCAACAGACTGTGTGTGTGTGTGTGTGTGTGTGTGTGTGTGTGTGTATTCTGGTCTTTGTCTCTTCTCTTAGAAATCCACCAGTATACAGTATACAGTATACAGGATATCCCATAGCAACAGACTGTGTGTGTGTGTGTGTGTGTGTGTGTGTGTGTGTGTGTGTGTGTGTGTGTGTGTATTCTGGTCTTTGTCCCTTCTCTTAGAAATCCACCAGTATACAGTATACAGTCACAGTATACAGTCACAGGGGCTACATCTTTGTGATCCTGTCTAATCTTAATCACTTCCCAGAAACCCTACTTCTAAATCCCATGGTTAGATTAAATTTTCACCCTTTTGAGTATTTCATGGTGAGATTAAACCCATAGCCAAAGGGATGCATTAAGTTGATTGCCATCTGATTATCATATAGAGCACTTACCTAGCAGAATGTGGCACTGTTCCCATTTACCCCCTGACAAATGACATGTTGCTAGGTTGCAGCATTCCAGCTGACTCTGGTTTCCAAGGGCAGACTGTAGCCCCTGGGTGTGGACCCATACTCCACTGCATGCCTGACCTTGTGGGCAGATGCAGGAGGGAACTTGCTTTTCCAATCCTGAATGTGGCACAGGGAGGAGGAGAAGAAAGACCTATATACGCTCATTCCGCTTATATTGCAGCCTTTGAATTGGGCCTCTTTGTTAGCCTGTAGCTCAAAGTGCACACTCCCAGATACAGGCACAGCAATTCCCTAGCAAAGATTTTGCTCTGTGGAGTCATCTATTCTGTATGACAGGATTAATTTCCGTAGCTGTAGAACAGGCAGAACTGACCTGGGGAAAATAGCCTGAGAGTATCACTGGATTTGTGAAACCTGTGTGTGGTAAGCCTCCTGCCAGCTTCCTGGTGCTGTCCTAAATGTACCCACCTACTTCACCATGGAGTGAACCCTGCACTTCCTGTGTTTTTCCTCCCTCACTTCTTTAGTTTGCTTCTGTGCTTCACAAACTGCCTCTCTTTCTTCCTATCCGGTTACTTCTCACTTTTCTGTACATGTGACATTATCTTAACCAAGCATATCTTGCATGCATTAAAAATGAAGTATACTTTTCCTTTAAAATTTCTG